AGGAAGCCGTCTGGGTTGAAAGGAACTGGTCAACGCCGCTTGTCGCAGTTTCTTGCCACACGTTCTTGTGCTTTCTTCACGTATTCTCGCGCTGCTGCAAGCTATGTATGGAAGTTGCCAACTACTACCCGTTTGCCGGGCTGGCTCCCAACAGCAGCAGGCGCCGTCGATAACAAGATAATCCGTTGTGTTCCATCCAAACATAATAATTAGAACCTACGATAGGTTAGGTTACCTTGCTGGACAACAATATTGCAGCCTACTAAAAACCGTCTAGAGGGTCTTATGACTGTTCTGCGCTTAGATCTGAACTACCACTGCTCTTCACTGCTGCACCTTGAATGACTCAAAGCACTTTGCTGCATATATTCCAATGAAAGTCCCTCTGAATAGCGTTTTCTAACAATCAGGTTAGTTTGCTGAAGCCCCAGCTCTCCCATGCAGTAACGACCCGCAGTACGTTCCACCATATGGCCGTTCTGTAGGCCCTTATTACAGTTGCTACAGACCTCTCGTACGTTTTCGGTTGTACTTTTGTGGGTCTTAATCACAGCCATGGAAAGGACAACCCTCTGCAAGCAGCACCGCATAGCCTGTATTCAAATGGAAGTCACAGGAAATATTTTTGCCGTTCTTCGGCGAATCACCCCCAAAACAGGAGACCGCCGCATAGAAACGTAGACTGAATAAGAATGGCGCGTCTATACTGAACAACCGCCCTTGGCCAGATGCCGTCACATCCGCCATTCCCCACTGATAACGAAAAAGATTATCGGAAGGACATCTTTGTTGTTCCTTGCAGTCAAAGCGTGATAGGCGGTTGCTGTTAAACCGCAGCGATTGCTGCGGATGAGCCAGCTACGGGGCTCCTATCCCTGCAAGTCCAGCTTCCGCAGTACCTGCTACCCCCGCAGGAATCGGGAGCTGATGCCGATGAGGTGGACGCGTGTGGACTGAGGAGAATTCCATGCACATGGCAACGCGACCTCAGCAGGGACCGCTATACAGAAGCGCTGTTGTGCTGCGTTACGGGTGCGGCCACTACGAACTGCCGCACTACAACCCAGACGAACTGCAGCGAGACACCCTACAAGGCTTGGTACACTTTTCACAGCGCCTTGCATGCAATGAACATACCCCTGCCCCCTCATAAACTGAGAGAAAACATCTTCCGAATGTCGTGCGCAAAGTGGTAGAGATTCCGCATAAACCTATCCTAAAAACAAGCAAACAGCCCACACATACAAAGTAGCAAAACGACGCGAGCTGCCAAGGCCATGCAAAAGTGCTGTCTAGTTTCCCAGCAGACAGTAACCCACCTTATTTGCCGGCGTTAGGTCATC